GTGGTAAGGGTTTGAAATCCGAACCCGAAAGTTCGCGGTTGGAGTCCTGACATGGACACAAAAAGTACGCATTGCTGACGAGTCCCAAACAGAACGAAGCAGCTATCCACTGCTCCTTGTCGGTTATCACCAACATTTCTATCGCACGTAAACGTGTGATATATTATGAGATACACGGAATGAACGAAGGTAATTATATATATATATATATATATATATATATATGTATTCATACCTTTGAGTTATCACCTAATGGACTACTATTCCTCACTAATACTAAACTGTTGATGCCACCACCATTTTTACTCCAGTAAATAGAAATTACCAAACCAAATTTCCTATGATATACTCCTTCGTGAGACTACTTAAAATGGCACTAAGCATTACAAAGTACTTACCAACGGTCACCCGTATTTCAAAATGTGCTATTCTATATTATTCTTTTATCTGTAAGCAGTCGCCATATTTGGTTTTATTCCTGTAGACCAACTTAAACCGATAAGGTTTCCTCCTGTCCCTGTAATCTCACTTTAATCTGTCCCTGTTGTTTGGTATAGGGACCTTATGAACAACAAAATCTTCTTCCAACATCCTGATCTCACCCGGTGCTTGGCTGTACATGAGACAGTGATGCAGCTGATGGTGCAAACACTGACCAAAGCCACATTGGAACAGCCTGGGTCGGTTGCCGGTGCCAATGTTCAACCTGTCTCTCTCATGACCACCGACAACATGGTAGAGACAGTCGGGCTTTCCGTACCAAATGCAGCCAATACCCCAGGTTCGGGTAACAGCGGGTTGCCTGCAGTGCAAGAAGAAGGTTAGTTCAATTCCCCCCGGAGTTTTGGAACATCATGATAATAACTGTCTAGTTGTTGATATCCTCACTACAAGCGGTTTTGTACACGCGCGACCCGCAACTATCTCCCTGTGCAAGACCGTAGCTAAATGCAGGACTATATCATCTAGTAAGTGAGCGTTGAATGAATGAATAAAACATTCATAAGGCATCCTAACATTTGTGCCCTCAAGAAAACATGCCATTAGTGGTGTGTGCATTTATGCAAAATGTGAGATGTGTTTATGTTTTTTGTTAGTTGCTCTGATTGTTTCAATTTACCCCCGTGTCTATCAACACAAATTGTGTTGTGGGAATTTCGGGTGCATTAGACATTTATTGCATGTTACACTATCAAAACTGCCAACGATACTGCACCATGGGCTGGAAACCGTTACACTAGGCTAGAGTTGGGCAACCAGATGCGTGACGCCTGCCCTACTGATTATTATTGCTACTTGGTTGGTGAAAATCGCTTTGATTTAGTAAATCATTTACACCGATTGGTGGTGTTTTCGGTTTTTATTTTGGTTCCAGTCACCAAATCCGACCGTGTTTGTCGGAATGGGTGACCTTTTTGTGCAATAATAGCAACATCATGGTGAATTTCGTCCTGAGTAAATCAAACGAAGTGCGGACTGAAAAGCTAGAAAACACTTTATACAGGGAAATTAACTGCGCAATCGAATTAAATCCTCTACTGCTCTCATGTACTATCAATTATGTTCGGAAGTTTTCCAACGAGGTCATAATCCTGGAGGCTGGTGCTGACATTAATGAACTAGAATTGTCACAAAATGCTTGTTAAAATGGCTTGTATGGACAAAATGAAAAACGGTGGTCAGCGGTCAGGTGGCTAGAATATTAGTGTTATACCTCTGAGGTCCCGGGTTCGATCCTCCATCGCGTTGACGGAGTCGCACTACTGATGAGATCCAACCAAGTTTTAACGGCTGTACAGGACGTCCTAGCTTTTTATTTTACCCTTTTTACTCTACAAGCTACGATTGAATCAAATCCTTCAGTACAATGAATTAATAATAATAACCCGAAGGTTACCTTAGCATGACCATATATTACCTAAGGCTACCTTAAGTTTATCAGTGATAGCGTCCCCGTTGGTCATCGATCATTTCATCTCTCTCATTGTTTTGCTGACTGGTTGTACCTTTCCCTTACTGTTCAATGAACCACAAATCAGCAAGAAATCGAGCAGTTAGGTGGGCCTTCGGTTGACCCTGGTCGATACCCACAAACACTAAATGGACATAGCTTTCTACCGAACAGCTTTTGCTCTGTTTACTACCTTTCGTTGGTAATGTCATTGTTAACTCCCGTCTTTGTGATTTAACACAGGTCTTGGATTGAGTACTACACAAGAGCAACAGCGGAATGTTGCTGGTCCTACAGAGATGGTGGTTCAGTGCTGTCGATTCCTCTGCTATTTCTGTCGTACCTCCCGAGGAAATCAAAAAGCTATGTTTGAACATTTGAGCTACATGCTTGAAAATTCGTCTATGTTGCTGGGTAAGTATATTTAAAATGCTGGTCATGGTCTCCACTAGCTCCCCTCAGGTATTTAAAGTAATGTTCCCGTTCGGTGATGTTTTGTCTCGTCGTCTCACGGGCTCATGTAGTGGATGACATTGGTCTCGACTTGTGGATATACATTTACAATAGACATAGTTTACCAATTCTGCGCTTCAAAATAGGACGCCTATAAGGATAAGGAAAAACAGAGTAAGGAAGAGTGTTCTACAATTCCGTGGTTGTCGAAAGAAAGAGGATTCGAACACTACAGTTCAATAGGTTTTAGGGTTGTTTAGTAGGCATGACTTACTGCTTGTCAGTGGGTCTCACTAGGAGAGAGAGGAGAAAATAATAGCTGATGGTATTGGTGAAAAGTAAACAGAGAACCTACCAAACGGCTACCGGTAAGTTATTGTTGATAAGGGCAGACTGGCACTAAGGCGAAGTGCTTTATTCTGAACACGATCCAAAATTGCTCAAGAGAAGGCCCACCCCAGACATATATACAACGTTCTATAGTGAGACGAATATGGGTCCTCTATAGAGTGAGAAGCAAAGAGGGGTTGAAAGACCGTTTTACGAGAAAAATTTGAAAATCTTCCCAGACAGCCGTGGCGCAACTTCAACAATATTGGGGATCAAGATAAAGAAGAGCGAAAATGAAAATGTTGACGGATAAAAATAGGAGTCGAAATGCGGGTTGCGAGACACAAAAGGTGTTAACGGTATTAAAAACTATTTTAGTGCACCTCCACTAGGTAGCGATGACAACCAAGCTTGAAGTGAAGTACACACAGAAACCCATTTTAGGTGATCGTGCTGGAGGAAACATGGGAAGTTCTGTAAACAGAATAGTCTACGGTGGCATTAACCTCAAGGATCTGGTTGTGATTAGGAGTTTGTGAAAAAATATTTTCGTTGCATAAAACGGAGAGAATAGGAGATATCACAAAACCCTGATAAACTCCGGAGTTGAATAGAATCGCTCTCGAATTAACTCCATCAACAAGAACAGGTAACAAATAATCGTCAACGTAGCTTTGGACACAAGTGGTAAAACACGGGTAGGGTCAAACTTCGGAAAAGTTACCAAGAGTCTGTTATATCAAACTCGGTCGAACGCCCTGGAAGTATCAAGAGAGACCAGATATGACTCACCATGTGGTCAGTGGTGGAAGAACAAGTGTATGACTTCATTGTCGATTGGTCCCCAATGGATCTACGCCAGCAGAAATCATTTAGGTAGTCGTTGTGGCGATGGAGCTAAGAAAATTAACATTCTAACTTAAATAAATTCTTAAATTATTTGACAGACATCAGAATGATTCAAGAATAAGCAAATAACAAAAGGGGGGGGGCTGACGGATGGTACCGTGCACCCTACTCACATATTATCTACAATACTGAAAGCAGTCCAAGTTGATTTTCGAAAGTAGACCTTGAGGTGTGCAGCTCGTTGAATAATCGTCTTGTAGTATCACCATACCCAAACCGGTTGAACCATTCAAAAGGTTTTGGCATATAATTGACGCCTAGAGGCAATTTAACCGAGAGGCACATAAATCCGATGATTCAGTTGGTGTCTTAAGAAAGTGCTTCGATGTGAACATAAGTCCAATTTGTTGGATATGCAAACAAATTGGAACAGCAAACAATAACATTATTCCCCATTTGATTAATCATTGATTCTGTTTCCTCTTTTCTAAAATATAATAAATAATAATATAAAATGTGACGTTTTAGCCAGTTGATAAGTCGCCGAAAAGAAAGCTTTCTCCTCAAACGGCGTTTTTCATTCAAAGAAATTTCTCCATCAAAACATAAATTGAGAGGGCTAAAACCGCTCATATTAAAGAAAGACGTTGATTGTATTTGACCGCATCAGAGAACGGTTGCAAAATCCAATCTGGAGGATAGTCCGGGTTGATTGGCGGTTTTTCCTTCACGCTTTCGTTTAGAAAATGATGGTTCAGTTTAAAGTGCAGCTGAGGCCACGTGATATGAAGCCGTTATTGAACTCCCAACCGAGCAGAGCGTTTATTGATTTCAGCAACACATTCGAGCGGCGTTTCCTGTCCATTCGGCAGTGGGTTTATCTCTCTGGTGCCCAACGAGTAATTCAGCATGCGGTGAAAACTGATCTGCTAAGCTAGTTTTCTAATGATTTTCGTTTTACCTGTCAAAAGAAGTTAATTCTCATCCCGCCTAACGAGTTAGATCGAAAGTAAATACCGTGTGCCTTGTTTATGGTCTCCTGCGCACACCGATCTAGATATCGCAAGATATTTTGCACTGATAAGGGAGGTTTTCGGTTCCTTCTACTCTTCACATGCAATTGCGGAGGTCAAAGTTTTCACGGATGAAGGTTGGTATATTTTCCCGCATGAGGTTTGCAGTAGGAACCCGTTAGACTTAACTAAAATTATTTTTTCACGTTCATACAGTCTCTGGAGGGGTCAAGTTCAATGTCGAATTTGATCGGTTACCGCGCAGCAGCTGGGATTTTAATTTGATCGAAAACCGTTCCCTGTATAAGAAACAGGGATAAGTCAGTTGCCTGCACAGTGATTGTCAGTCGTTAGGGTGTGCGGTGTATTAGAGGAAACTTGTAAATTGTGTTTGACAGTCAACTTTGTGGACTCCATGCTGAAGCGACTACCTTCAATGCCCTCAAATGAAAACAGGAAAATGGAACATGGACGAGACGAAAAAAGAATGCCTGTATGAGTTATTTTATTAAATAATTTCTAGTTACGTTCTCTACTTTGTTATTTTACAATTGATGCACCAGCAACCATCGTCGAAATCACGAAATCTTACATTTTAATGGCATGTGATCAATAGAAGCAAAGGCATATGTGGGTATTATATCAGATATGTTGCGTGTGATGCGTGGCAAAAGCATATTCAATCCCGTGAAAAACATATGTTCGCCTACACTGTGTTCTTAAATTTTGTGGAATCGATTTCGGGTTTTCTATCTAACATCTTATTCGTTCATATAACAAAATAATAACATTGAGATGAACACCAGTGACGAAAATCCGGATGTTGTACGAGTTTGGTCAATACCTGTATATATATGTATATAGCAAAACATAAGAGGGAATGCTAATGGGCTACCCCAGAACCTTAAAAAGAAAGATAAACACAAGTTGATGCTTTTGGTCTCCAATCCCGTAATCCCACAATAAATAATACCAAAAGTAGCCATTAGAAGGAGATGACGGTCTGTTGAGGAGGAAGTGTTTGGGGTCTCATAGAGGGTGTGTCCAAAAGGTACATTGAGCTTTTGTACCGAAATGGTCGCTCTGCACGATAATAATGTGCTTTGTTTGCACAATACTATAGTGGTTAAAGTATTACTATATTGGCTTTAGTTTTAATTTTATTCATATTTTTCAAAGTTTGAGGACTAGAGTTTTCAAATGTTGTGATGGTGCTCCAAAAGTAATATTTCACTTCACTCGTAAGTGGAGATACTGCCTTAACCTAGAGGAACGCCGAAGCTTTTATCCCATCATGTATATATGTCTGGTTTCTTATATTTTCCGGATCTGAATTCTGTTTTATGATATGTTGGTGCCTTACCTTCTATAGGTTAATGATCATCTAAAAATGTGTTCTTAAATCGATGATTAGAATCTCAAGGAAGTACGTTCTGTATTTGTCATCCTGAAGTCATAATTTATTGTTTTCGCTATCTTATTCACTTCCAATCGATTGGATGTGTGCAGCACGCCCCAGCCTACGTGGTACTTGTCCGCTTGATGTTGCCTATTCGTCTCTTATGGATAACAACGAATTGGCATTAGCCCTACGCGAAAGACAGCTGGAAAAAGTGAGTTATGTTAACTGTTCAAATATTAAGTTTTTGAACCTTAATTTTGCACAGTCTCAACTTCTACAACGGTTACCCTAGTGCTGTCATTTGCTGATTTTAGCTGCCATCTTGTGACTACTCATTTGGTCAATCATTGAATGAAAAAGTTAATAAACAAGAATCTTAATGCAGTCCCAAGATAAATATGTATAATTCGGCCAAACTGAATGTGCATGGAAAGTAGGTAAATACATACTCCACAGTTTGTGACAACAAATTGCTCAGTATCTCTAACCGCTATTTCAGCAGATTCCATAAATCTGAATTAGACGGCCTAAAGTGGTTCACAGGAAAAGTTTCCGATGAATATTTTCCTTGTTTTCTGTGAGTTTATTCTCTGAGCGCCTTTGCCTTTCTCCCGGGCAATATCGGTTCTGACTTCCCCAGGCGCAGAAGAAATCTATCTGATGACATCTATCATGATGCGTGAAGGTCAATGATCTGCATGAGCACTTGTCCACGACAGCCTATTGCTTCTCGTCTACCCATCAGAACCGTACAACTTTCTGCGGACAATACAATTCGCATTTATCTTTTACACTTCACGTTTACGTCTCACCACCGCAAAGTAGATCAATTTCAGTGTGCACAAAATTCTTAAGAGATAGCTAGATGTTTTGGCAATATCGCAGATGTCTCGAGCTGACAAATACCGAACGAGTTTGATGAAATTTGTCCCCAGGCTGCTTAATCAGCAACTTTTATTATTATTCTCCACTGTATCTCACTTTAGAATAAGAAACATTTGGCTCAACCATATCCTGTTAGAGCATTTCACATTTTAAATGTGTATGTCGAACAAAGCCTAAAGGAGTTTATATATATATATATATATATATATATATATATATATATATATTATCTGTCTACTCCAGATTAGATGGCTTGGTTCCTGAGAAACTACCTCAGCAAGAGGGTGGACTATCTCCATCATCCTTTTGATAAGCAACCTAACACTTTCAAAGCTATATTTCCACCCTGACCTGGCAACAAGCATTGGTTATGCAACTTTTCCAATGCCTGTTCCATAATCTAACTCTTTACCGTAGTCCCGCAAGCTTTTGCTGTCTTCATGTGCTATTTATAACCCAAAAAATGAAAACTCACTTTTTGTTTACGTCTTATTGTTTATTCATCCCTCTGGAACCCATCACCGTTTTGTGCCTCCTCACATTAGCTCATTTGTCTCATACCTCTCCGGATACCGGTCCGATGCTCAATACCGTACTATCCTATACTTGAGTGTTGCAAGCTGAATTGCAGTTTTATACGGAAAAGAATCTTCGGTTGTAAAACAACCTTTGCACCAAAATAACGTACATTATCATTAATTTTCTTTCAACAGAAATTAATAAGTCTTATTAAATGACGATGAAGTGGTCTTCAGCCTGTCCCTCATTTTGGTAATTATCAGCAAATCGATTAGCAAGGCTAGAGTTGAAATGCTTTTTAGCTATATACCCCACCCCCGAATGGACGTTCCTACGTCTTGTCTTTGTTTTCTCTTATGTATTTAATGTAATCGTTTATATCAACGTAGCCCATTAAACTACAGTTACTGGCCTAATACCGATAATAACAACGCTTTCGGATCACGAGTTTTTGACCGTCAATCAAAATCTGATTTAATGGTCCTATGCAAGCAACTTCACCCACCTATCTACCTTTGTCTCTCCATTCACAATACATCAGGTTGCTGTATATTTGTCTCGTTGTGGTGTCCAATCTAACGCAGAACTGTTGGCTAAAGGTTACCCTGATATCGGTTGGGATCCGGTTGAAGGTGAACGATTTCTAGACTTCTTGCGTTTTACCGTTTGGGTGAACGGTGAGTAAAATTCTTTGTTTGGTAAGAACTGATATGTGGTTAAACCTATGATCATTTTCTCAGGACTTGTGTTCACAAAACTAAGTCATCCATGTTTCTTTAATTTTGATCTGCTTCGGAGACTGGTGTTCTATTCCTTTCCTTTTAGTGTTGCCAGTTGATTGATTTGATCAGCTGTTACCACTGTATGTTCGTTACTTCGTTTGGGTGAAATTTAATCTACTTGACCTTCGTTTGATTGTGTAAAAAATTATTTTTCAAAAACTACCATTGATAGCCCAAATTATTTTCAGTATATCACTGTCTTTAAATATTTTTACCTTAATCCTAAATTCGTGCCCAGCAAGAAGAACAAACTTAATATTGGTACTTCATTTTCAGACTTAATATGCGTGGTTCTAATCATTTTTTTACTAATCCATGCACCTTTCATTGGACTTCTTTAAGGGGAGACTGTGGAAGAAAATGCCAACCTTGTGGTGCGTCTGTTGATTCGACGACCAGAATGTCTGGGTCCAGCTTTACGTGGTGGCTCCAAAACTCTAAAACCAGCAGGAGGGACACAAGGAGTTGACGGAGGTGAATTACCTCCAGGTGGACCGGGTTCACTGAATGACGGAAGTCGTGACATGGGAGAGATGAATGCTACTGATGCCGATGGACAGCAAAGTTCTGCCGGTGGCGGACTGTTAAAAGCCATGAAGGAGGGTTTGGTTATGTCAGCTCAAATTAAATTAGTCAAAATGGCTCAAGAGGCTGAGGCAGCTGGTCTGAATCCCGAGGATGAAGACTTAGGCTGGCGAACGGTCATGATGGATTACGAAGATGCCAATTTGTTTGTTCCGTTACCCTACAATTTCGAATGTCTTCCGGTAAGCAGCCTTTGGTTATGTCTTCATCAAAGCTTAAAACAAATAACAAGCGTTTTTAAAATATCATAGCTATCTACCTTGGATTCTTCATTCCATTTTTCTGTAGCCTTTAATTATGCTTTTTCTACTCCGGCTATTTTCACTTTTCATTATTAAGTGGAATTATCTACGGTAACTGACACGCTCCAATAACATTGTATTAAAGTTGTGTAAAATAGGTTATAATACTTAGCCTATTTCGAAATGAACCAGCTATTACTTCACGAATTCTGCTCGGATCACTTTTATATATCAAATTTTGTGGATAGGTAGTTTTCAAATCACGGAATATGTCCATTGATTAAGAACACAGTGTAGGCGAACACGGGTCTACCAATTGTCTACCGATTCAAGTGTACCTATAGTGCGACTTACGTAGGTCGAACGACAAGACAGTAATCTCAACGGATCAAAGAACACAATCCACGTAGGCTCACACAGGGTGGGAGTGGAGCTGTATCAAGCTCGATGGTTGCTCATCCTGGTAGAGACGGGACACTTGGTTGACATGCGCTCAGCATTTACAATCATCTATAGAGTTTCACCACACCCCTCGAGAGCAACACGGTTTCCGACGTTAGCAGAGGCGATTAGCATCCCGCTCATGAAGCCTGAGCTGTGCGCACAACGCAAACTGGTTCAAGCTCTCAAACTCCCCTGGCCAGGGGAAGAGAAAATCGCTTANNNNCGCTTATTCACACGACCATGACGTAATCACTTTGGTTATGTGATCCAAACTGCGCACAAATTTTGATTTCTCTTGAGCTCATTGCCAAACACATGACTCATCCACCTTTCTGTTTGACCATAATGAAATTGTTTCATATAAATGTGATTGTAAAAGCTTGAAAAGGAATTCACCGAAAACATATGTTCACTGTTCTTAAATTTTGTGGAATCGATTTCGGGTTTTCTATCTAATATCTATATCTATCTATATTCGTTCACATAACAAAATAATAACTTGTTACTAACGACAATAAGCATTCTATTTTCTTTACTATCATCCAGCCCGAAGATAACCCGGACTACATTGACTTGGGAGCAGCAATTTTGACGTTCCATTCAGTACTGGTTAATTTGTTAGGATACTGTGCCCCGGAGATGGAGACCACCAAGAGTGAATCTTTACGTGCTCGAGCTATTTTACAGTCTTTGGTCAGCATGAACGATCTGGAAGGCGTGCTATCCCTTCGTTTCATTCTACCTCCTCCGAAGTTGGAGGTGCAGGTGAGCTCATTCATGATAAACGCAGGAGTAACACTTCACAAACTTTATTATTCCCTTGATTATTTTCAGTGCTACTGCTAACTGAGAAAAGAATAAATTGCCGCAATGATATTCAAATACTAGTTAGCGTGCCGTTATAAACAATCCTATGATCTAAAAATCAACCGTTCCTAACCTAGGTAAAGGAAATGCGTTTTACAACCGCATGTACACCTTCGACTTGTAAATTCATTGCGTCTTCGAATTCGGTGATGACGCAGTTTAGAGCTGAGGGCCAGACACACTACATATTCCAGCAGCTCTTGCGCTATCTAACCTCTGTCCCATTTCAGACTAACGAAGAAGGTGAAGAGGAATGGATCGATAAAGCTGGCATGCCTCCAGGACTTTTGCCAGATCACAAAGCTTCAGTGGTTTTATTCTTGGAACGTGTTTATGGAATCTCTGATGCGGCTACCTTTTTGCGGTTACTCGAGAACGGTTTCTTACCCGACCTACGAGCAGCAACTCTTCTGGATTCGGTAAGCCTCTTCAGTGTACAGTACGCACTGTCATCGACTTAATGTTAAACTCTAATGGTATATATCACATTTGTTATTCCTGAAACGCATTTATATTTTTCCCATTATGCGAATAAAATTTGTTCTTGGCTCTTTGTCTTCTCTAATGAATATATCATTCATATTCTTACGTTTTCTCTTCTTTTTTATTTGTGTTTCAGTCTGTTGTACCTGACAGTGATATGGCTTTGGCACTCAACCGATATCTGTGCAACAGCGTTCTGCCTCTTCTCACGCGTCATGCGCACTTCTTAGGCGAGGAAGGTACAGCAGGCGGGTTGTTTGAAGCTACTTTGCAAACCGCTTATCGACTGTCCAAATGCCGTGCCATCACCAATCATCAACGTGATGTCGTTTGTGATTTTCTAGTGGCCTTGATGCAACAAATCCGCCCACCTATGATGACGGCTTTGTTGAAAAAGATGTCCGTTGACCTTCGAAATCTTTCACGAGAGGTAAGTTAATGGATTTTCCACTAGAGCACTGTCAGTTAGTGATACCTTATGTCTCCTTCCATTCTGAGGTTTCCCTTCATTTCGTGGTTTAGAGTTGAAATAATTGGAGAAGTAGTATGAACTGAGCCAGTGCAATCACAACGTTTGTTTTCTGCGGAGAATTTATTGCTAATTGATTTGAACAAATCTGCTAAAATTGTTTGATAGTTGTTTCGGACAAAATCCTGATGGCCCAATATCCTGGCTTTCTGGATTTATCAACCTCGTGAATAAACTTTAAAAAGTTATTGCATTTTTCCATTGGAACTTATGTGTGCGATCGATTGCCGTATTTTGATTCTTTCGTTTGAAAAGTAGCCACTCAAGATGCGATTCTTTTCAGGTCATTATAACATGTAAAACTGTTCCTTGGACGACTTGATGAGTGCTTAATCACGGGCTAAAAATAAGATAAGTATTTAAATGTAAACACCAGCTTCTGAACTACGACTGATTTTTTATGTGGTTCTGAGGATAAAAATATTTTCATTATTATTTATTATTACGATTGATTTTTGGAAATTATAAGTAATTTTTAGTGCAAGGATTAAACCTCGTCCACATGGATTGTATTAAAGCCTATCTTCTGCCAATTAGATGGCTCGGTGCATCATTCAGTTCATCGACAGACATCTTGAAGAGACCAATACATTTATTTCCTAAGTATTTTACCGCTGAAAATTAAAAGGAATTTGGTTCGTTGTCTAGTATATAAGACATGGAAGTTCTGCAGCCATATATGGACGATATTTTTATTCTTACGGAGCGTGAACGTTTTAAGTCCCTTTTCAAACAATTTAACTCTAATAATCCACATCTTTGTGTCTCTCGTGAAGAAAAAGCCAATGATTCCTTGACATTTTTGGGTATAGAAATTACTAGGTGCTTTGTTGGTACATTGCAGCGTTCTATTCACTGAAATGAAATAGAGCATAATCGATCATTTAGACTAGATAGTACACACTCGATGTAAAGGTTAATTCGTTGATGAAACTGTGTTCAAGAGGAACCAAGTATACGAAAACAAGTGAAATATCCGTTACTGGGTGTACGTAGTACGTTCAACTCTTTTTTTCGCTGTGCTATCTCTTCGTGCTTTTCTGCTTAACTACGTGTACCGTAGTGTCTGCAACAGTTTCGTCGTTCGTTTTTGTTGTTGCCGTTATTCACGGAAACCGATCAGTATATTTGTTATGGCCAACGTTGGTCCACTTTAGTGTCGTGTTGTTGGACATGGCGCTAGTGCTTGATTAAGCTCAGCACATGAGGCTATAACGTGATTGTCGAAATACATCGCTCTAACACAATAGGGGACGCATTAGATCCAGATCGTAATTGACAAGTGACATACTCAATCTCATCATTGCTCTAGCAAGGACAACTGCGATTGTCGTTCACTCGTTTGCATAGCCCATGAGGTGCATTTCACTCCCTTAAGCGAGAGTAATCTTACAACTACAAACCTGACCGTGATTTTGGTGTCTATTGTAATGAAAGTGACCACAAAAGCTGGATAAAACCATTCCAGTATCCCTAAAGTATTGTAGAAATCTTTATGAAATTACTAAGATTTATTTGAAGCAGAACCATAGATCATTGTTTGCCTCACCTTGGCTTTCTGTTGCAACTCAACGAGCGCCCTATTTGCACACTCCACTAATCTACCCGAAGGCCAAACATTAGCTCAGGCGTTATCCAGTAACTTCTTCTGTTCTCTGGTTGAGATAACTTTCGGTGCATTCACTACTTCCAATTCATCTTGAATGCAACGCTTCGATTGGTTCGAGACACGTTTTTCTAAACACCAAAAGTGAGGTTTTCTATAACACTTCTAAGTAACCTACTTCTTCATTATCAAATTCGAAACAGATGATATCCTCAAAAATAAGTTCATCAATGGAGGCGATAGAAGCAAAATTTTCTACCCCATAGCATTTATCCTCTGGCAGCTCCATTATCGAATGATTCGTTGTTTTTTTGTCCTTACGTGTGGATCTACAGACATTCGAGCTTGTTTGACCAGATGCACGACCACTGCCCACTTATACGAAGCACAAAACATATAGTCGTAAATATTTTCAGAATGAACATTTGATAGACTAAGTTATAACGTGGCCCATTGGCTGTATCATTAAGGAACAGTTCGGAGGAAGTCGTTCCAATGTTAAATTCAATAATGCTGCAACTTTGCTATGACGAAGGGCGATATCTATGATTAGTAAAATAGAGCGTCCTCGAGAAATCGTGTTGCGATTGGCATTGGACAGCCAACTTTGGAATAACGCAGAAGTCATCCACGTATAATATAAGAACTATATTGGCAAGGTAGGTTTTGACCATCTGTACCACGGAGACACCACGGAGTTTCCTCGAAGTACCAAGTGGTTTTACTACAGAGCTCTGAAATGCACCTAGTTGATTAAGCATTTCCAACACATCCTGCTTCTCTCTGATAGGTAGGTGCTTAAACATTGTCACGTCTTGGACTACTGTGTACCTACCTTCATCACAAGAGTTATCTAATCGGTGAACGGTGTCATGTATGCACCAAATCAGGTGAAATGTCCTTGGCTAAATGCGAAATCACATGCTGTTTGGTCACTGGTCAATTCGTACATGGATCATAGACCCAGCCAGTAAGTATCAGGAAGTGAAACATTACGTAGTCAGACCTACGTTATTTCGTATACAGCTGGTTTGGGTTAGCTAAAAGTGGAGAAATATTGGAAAATGCGGCTTCTCATATGTGCAACATAGCAAGAGGTTGCCTGCACTTGTTTCTGTGGAACTACACTCATAAGCCATACGGTCAGGCTATTGCCCGATCGGATTCATGAACACCACCCTTCGATGCTGAACTCCAAAGCCATTAAATCGCTTGCCAGTGCAGTAGCTTCACATCTGGCGAAAACTAGTCATAATGTCAACAGGGCCCATGCATTCTACCCCTATATTAGTTTTGTTGTTGACACTCAAGGCGGGTTCGCTGTCCGATACTTGTCACAGTAGAATCCGTTCATACAGACTCCTCTGTGTTCCCCCGAGGTGTTATAACCACCCTGGGACGTCCACACACCTCACATCCAAAGTAATCTCTATGGTCGGACGAATGAACCATCAACTATATTTATTAAGAATTTTCTATTCGGNTCAAGAAGAACTCAGTGCTGGTCGTCGATGATTTACATTTTTCTATTCTCTTGACGATTTTCTCTTTAATTAGTGGTTTATGTTGTTTTACTAGTATAATTAGGAATCACTGAAAACGAGCTTATTCGCCAGTGTATTAATATCCATTGGGGCTCACTAACAAAAAAGTAGATGGAATGCTCCGGTTTTATACGACCCATCTTAATCATCACCGTTTTGTTCGTCCGCATAAGAGCATGCAAATATATTCGTTTGAACGGATTTGAGTTGCAACAGCTACTAAACTCTTATTTACCTTCTTTTGTTTGGCTTCTGAACAGTCCGTGGTCTCGTTGCGCGTACTGACTGAATTCTATCAACGTTGCGGAACGTATTACAGTTCCGACGGATGGACAAATGAATCTGCATCGTCTGCTGTCCCCGGAAAGGGTGACGCATTGAAAGGGGCTGGTACGGATGGTTCAGCTGCAGGTGCTAGCGGAGCTGGGGGTGGGGCCGGTCGCGCTGCTGGAGAGGCCACGGCAACGGAAGAAGAGCGAAACTTCACTGCTCAATTATTTATTCTCATATTCGATAATTTGTCACGTCAACCTTACGAGCCGGAGTTGTTCTCATATGCTTTGCCATGTTTGTGCGCAATCGGTTGCGCACTTCCACCGGACTACTCGATTAGTCGCCTGCTGACCGGTGACGCAAATACTGGATTAGATGGGGAGGATGGTGGATTCAGTGCCTTCTCGTCAGCTATCGGTACGTTAACTGTGAATTAAATTTTTTGGAACAATTTAGAAAATCCAGGTCGGTATATCTGTGTATTTATGTGTACTGTTTCCACATGTTACCCTGTGGCCTTGCGGGTAAGGCTTTCGTTAACTGAAGGCTCTGACTGTGAATCCTCCGAGAAAATTCACCTGCTTTGGCCTGCGCAATCAGGCAATATTAGGCCACAGAGCAAAGCTTTTACTCATTGCTTTGTTGTAAATATTGTTGTGCCGTGATTCTTTTGGCACGTAGTCCAGACTCAGACTTGTAAGAAATAACTTATCTGCATTGATTAACCACTCACCTAACCGGTGTCCCAAATCCACACAGGCAAACAGGAATCTTTTGCATGATATGCGATCAACTATTCATTGTTTCTAAAAACATGACAGGTGGACATTGCACTCCCTTAAAAAATACACTGCCCGAATTACTAACAGTAATAGATGAAAACAACTGCTTGAAACAGGGACGACATGTACAGTGCGATTGCTCCATTGTTTACCATCGTCTCGTCCCTCTCGTCCGTGATCTTAAACAAGTAAATTCCCTCTGACCCTTTCTGCGATCTGATTGGATCATATTCCGCGATCTGCGGCGCTTAAACTCCCACATCCCAACACGAAACCGTCTGATTACCGGTTTGTACGTTTGTAATGCTCTTGTTGTTACGTCCAGTCCATCAGTGTGGACATCAATACCCCCTAATGTAGGCCCACGCAAAATTCTTCTTTTTTCCCCCAACTGGTTGTTTTCGCGTTGAACAATCTCGCTAACTACGTCGAAGATAGAATTCCGAAAGAAAGACAGAACAATTATTGCGGAAAAGATAATATTCATATCATAAAAAAGTTCCATATGTTTTCCATTCTGCTGCTTGCATAGCAAAATCCAGTGAAGATACTTTTCTTCCACCTTCAGAATGATAGCAGTTGGAATACTTACGCACTGCACCACAATACTCTGTTTTAGCTCCTCAACCGTTCTCAGTTTTCAGCAATAAACTGTTCGCTTTAGATATCCCCACAAAAAGAAATCCAAGGGGGACAGATCAGGTGATCTTGGCAGCATCGGATTCGGAACCTATCCTCCTCCTAGGTCGGCCCGAAAATCACACGACCGATCGGGTTCATTTATCAATCCGTCGAATGGTTCAGTCGCAACAAGGGACCTGTTGCTTGCCCAGCTATAACCCGAGCGAGAAACTACACCTTGTTTACAGCCGTAAGTTTCAGGAAGGCCCAATGAACTTCGACTGTGCAGTGGGAGTGCCATCAGCACACGGATGGACTGGACGTAACAACAAGAGCATTACAAACGTACAAACCGGTAATCAGACGGTTTCGTGTTGGGATGTGGGAGTTTAAGCGCCGCAGATCGCGGAATATGATCCAATCAGATCGCAGAAAGGGTCAGAGGGAATTTACTTGTTTAAGATCACGGACGAGAGGGACGAGACGATGGTAAACGATGGAACATTCGCACTGTACACCATCGACTTAATTGTCTTACTAGTGAATCCACATATCCTCAGATTTATTTTAATACCACTTCCCTCATGCAACTATGCAACGATGTTGAATAACGAAAGGAGAAGCTGTGGGTATCCGGTGGTTGGCCTTTGTATTGTGTATGACCTACAGTTGTCCATTTGGGGGAGACGTTGAGAAAATCCTGTTTCTGGCAACGAGTTACTGAATTCGAGTTTCATATTCCTAGTCAGGTGAAATTCTACAATTTTTTCTCTTTGTTTTACGACCTCCGTTCAGCAGATTGCTAAGTGAGCCTTTCAATCGTAAAATCATATGGGTTATCGTATTTGTTTCAAAAGCGGCGACCTTGAAGGAAACAACAAACTTGATGGAAATTACCAATTAAGCCTCACTCATTTATGGAAAGATCCATACCACATGTACGCCTGAACATAGTGACCCATTTACCGATCTAACCTGACGTGACTCGGTTTCCTAACCGTAGGAACTAGGTCAATTCCTGCCGGGTTCATTTATTCTCGTCTAATGCTCCCTCGTTCAGCGACCAAGTAACGAACAGTCAGCCTCGGCAACTCACTCAAAAAGTACGTTTGTTTGGTTCTGGAGAACTCAGTTCGTTCTTACTGGCGGTCGTTTTGATGGACCCGGTCCAATTGGTGACGTGTGACGGCCGAAGAACCAATCACTTAGTAGGAATCTCATTAAAACGTAATTGTTGATTTCATTTTAAGCTACAGCAGTTCCACTAACCCACCATAGTAAGGAACTTTCTTGATGAGAAATTTTCTGGCATGTGCACCAATCGAGGGGGACTGAAGGAGTGGTTCCGAAGATAATCAAAGCAAATGATGATCTTGGATGTGCGCTTCACTCTTTGGGAGATCGATAATTCCCCATCGATAAATTGAATTCCTATGCTCTTTGTTGGCCATCTCGTATAATCAAAGCTGTTTTCAATGGATTTCGCTCTTATGAGAGACCGAAAATCTACAGTTTATAACGAGAAAGTGAAAGTGAATGAGGAGGGTAGAATATCTTTATTGTGTTTCGTCATGCTTAAACAAAAATGACCGGAGTTACTATGACCAACTTTCTGAAACTGAAACTGTAGTTGTTCCTTGCGTTCTCTCCATTGACGATACACCAGGTGATTCACTGGGCCGGAAACACGATGCTGCATGAAAATTTCGGCGGCGGTTGGCTTGCACTTTTACCCGATGAAAGTGTGCCAAATGGTAAACCCTGACTGCAACTCTCAGGTCCATTCGCACACACATACACACTCGAATCGTTGTACCTCTGATGAGGGAAACCGACCGCTTTGCTTTGACCGTTCGCTGCTCGTGAAAAACAAACTGAAATTGTCAACTATTGCAACGTGAGCTTAACGGACAGCGACATAGCGCATTTAGTTTAAATGAACGCGTCAGGTTTGAGCTTTCGGGAATCATGCGAAGGATTCAAGCCTATCATTCATCCAACACGAAAAGATGCATGGAGCGTTTTCCTTAAACCAAATCGATTTAGAGGAGAATAAATATATCCACTAAGAAGCCAGTGATTACAGAGGATTTAAGAAATAATGTGTTTTTAAGCACCCAGCTCAGTTCAGAGAGGAGCGAATGTCTCTGGTGGTGAGTGAAGAGAAAATAACCAACTCATTGTGGACAAAGTAACCGATGGGTCTGGACTATAGTAAGTGTTCAAAGCAAAGTCCTTCGTACTAAGCAGATCTGCCAGTTCACTTTGTTAGACTGATGTGAACACTCATGGCTCCGTCGAAGATGTTTCGCGATGGAATTTTGATATTTTTAGTTTCTTTAGGGATGTGCTTGGGAAGTGTTAACAATAGTCCCCATTCGGTTGCACAAGAATAAACTAAAAGAAAATATCTTATCTGCATAGCCAAATATCCCTTGCTAAGCCAGCGAGGCTTCTATAAGTCTACAGATATGTTGGAAATGAAGGATGTTGGTTTAAACACTTGCTATTACCACTAACGAGGAGTACCAATCCAGTGACCAGGTGAGTATCTGTACGTTTCTAATAAAAGATCAGATTCCACATGATATATTTCTCAAGGGTCATTTAACTCATGGTTCTGCTACCCGTATTATTCGTGAATTGAGGAACGCTGATTATGCATAATTTTCGTTCCAGCTGAATGATATGAATCGATTGCCAGACAGATTACAGATACTCTTGTGAAAACCACACAAAATTTAGTTTATTCAAAATCGTCTCTAAACTTCTCGCTGGTGTTATACTCCGTCACACGTGAGCGGTGCACGTGTGAGAATCGGGCTGGTTTTATAATCTGGTCGAGGTTGTTTAAACCACATTTTCGACTATGGCCGAATTTTTGAACACACTCCTTTTGTAGACCTACCTCAATTTTAAAGTGGCTTTCTACTCATTAGAACGCAAATAATCTGGCACTGCTTCGCTCTAAAGTGTGTGTTCAAGAAGTTGATTTCAAAATTATAATCCCTTTATACCGAATCCGAGCTTACGGTGTTTTTTCACCCGAGTTCTCTAAGGAAAGCGGTGTTCGTAGCCGTCACACACTCTGTATCTATCTAACTTTTTCATTGCTGTTTTTCTTGAAATAGCCCGATCCTCGGGCGAGGATAACGGCATCGATCTACACCCAGCTGGTAGACTGGCTTGTTTGTAGTATGCAGACTATATTTTACTGGTTAATGAAAATACAGGTAAGTTCCATGTTCTTCTGGATTGTTTGAGTGCTAGTGCAGCCATGTCCGCTATGTGTTTCACATCTTCAAAATGTTAAATGTTGCTACAAGATTGGGCTGGTCCAGCCTACAACCTCACTCCAACTGGGTAAGTAGTAGAGGAGTAAACAAATTTTGCTATCCGGTCAGCTAAATCTCACCTGGTGGATGCGTCACAGATCAAGTGTTGGTACGTATACAGAAGTTTCGATTGGCCTTTGCCAACTTCAGGCATCTGTGGCGCTATTGTGCAATGCAATGGTCNAATGGTCGAAAACCGACAATCTTTATGTCCTGCACCGTAGAGCAGGACTGGTTTAATTTCTGAGGCATAAACTTGACCCTTCACAGACAATCTGGTTTCACGACGGTGCCATAGATGTCTCAAGGTGGCAAATGCCAATTGAAATATCTCTATGCCTGTCAACACCTCATCTGTGACGCGTCCGCCAGGTGAAATTTAGCTGATTGGATAGCAAAATGTGTCTACTGCTCCACTACTTACATAGTCAAAGTGAGGTTGGGAGATGAACCAACCCAATATTGAAGCAATATTTTACATTTTGAAGGTGCAAATCACATACCGAACAGAGATGTACTAGCACTCAAACTATCCAAAAAAGCTTGCATCTTACTCGGATCTTCATTTACCGGTACAGTGTGGTTTGCATAATTCAGATCTACCACCTAGGATCAACTGGATATCAGTATCCTCGCATGAGGAAAGGACTGTTTCCATGATCAGACATAGAAAGAAGTTAGATAGAAGAGGAAAGATGACATGGCATGACGAACATCA